TAATATGTTTTATTCATAACACAGCTGTTAGTTGGACCCCCTGTGTGCGGAATCTTGTAAAATGAATAAATGTTGTCAGTGAACCTGCTTTGTTAAAGAAGGCCAGTTTTATTCGTGCAACGCTGGTGTGGACAACAAACCTTGTCGTTAAAAAATGCTTCCTTCCACGTCCTAAGAGTCGCCATTTTAATTTACAAATCAAGTCATTCAAGGTTAGCACTATTTTCCATCCAGCAAACTGACCTGACGTCATTTTCGCAAGATAGTTAGATAGAAGAGGTGTTAAATGGTTATGTATGTAGTATGTAACTAACCCAAACCCTACCCCTACTCTAACAACTAACCCTAACCTCAATCCAACTCTAACCCTAACCGAATTAGTTAATAAAAAACCCAAAAAGAAACGACTTTACAAAATCGATAGGGCGGTTTGCTGGATGGAAAATGATGTGGACGGCGTGAACAGGGACGAAACTAGCCCCCTTTAATTGGGGGGGGGGGGTCTGCTACAAATGCCCTGCGAAAGCTGTTGATGCCCTGAAGAGTCCCGTTCGTACTTTACCTTTTTGGATCTACATTTGATATCTAGGTTATTTTAACTTAAATGTAATATTTGTTCTATTATATTCTTTTGTTTGTTAAAAATTGTGAATATCGATCCAAATAAAATTTGTTAATTAAATTTAAAAATTTAAATAGGCGCTTCTTATTGGATGACAATATGACATTTCCACTTAACTATGATTAACTTTAATCACTTTTTTATACAACAGGCCTCTGGCTAGCCTGCGCAGCAGTCGCTTTATTTTATTGAAGACTTTGAGAATTTTTGAATAAATGGCGGGTTAGAAAAAATGGGTGAAGAAAAAAGGCGAGAAACCCCTTTTATTAAAAAATCCTCAAAACCTTCAACGAAATAATTAAAGCGACTGCTACGCAGGCTAGTCTCTGGCAGGAATTGAACCTGTGAACCTGCATTTAATTATGAATTTAATTCCAGTTGCATTAAAACCTGGCTACAGCAGTCATGCAGTAAACGAAACTTTACATTAGGTATCACATGACCATAAGCTGCTAATTTTAATGACGATAATTCAGTTATATGTCATTAGACTAGGAGTTACTATCGCAAGGAAAATGCTGCCGATATGTACATGTAGGATGTGCCAGAAAAAGAGCGTTTTTCACTGTATGTATGATTTATTGTCTTACACATCGTCGTTCCTCAGTTACCTTTGTACAATTATATCTTACATCTAATCTTATGAAAAGTATATTTTAATATACTTATTAGTGCGACTTTGATAGTTGACACATAATATAAATGATAAAATGTGAATATTATTGAATGATTTTGTCGCTCGTACAACTTTTAATTTGGCTATTCAAACAATTGATTTAAAATAGTTGAATTTATACTTACTGGGATGTTATTGCTTATTGGGATGTTGAAATTATGTTTGCTTTAAATACATTTAATTGATATTCCATAAATTCATTTTGTATGATTTCATTGATCTTGACATTGTTCAAAATCATTTTGTATTGTATTGAAACTGTATGTCTATGACCTATGTTATGTACTATATTAACCCATTGAGTCGCATTGCACCCTGATGCACCCTACTTTGAACAGTATTTTACTCTGTCTAGCGCCAGACGATTTTACTCGTCAAGGGGAGAGCGCTGGCGCTTAATGGGTTAACACGCCCAAAATCTGTACTAAAACTGCTAATTCTGTTTTGTGATTGGCACAGTTTAATCAAAGAAACTACCTTTAATCTAACAAAGAAACTACCTTGTGTGGAGTACCCCAAGGCTCAGTTCTTGGACCTCTACTCTTTTTGATCTACATCAATGATATTTGTGAATCATCTGAGATTTTCAAATTCTTTCTTTTTGCTGATGATACTAACTTATTGTATGCTGATAAAGACCTAAAAATGCTTGAAACAGTTGTCAACACTGAATTAAAGAAAGTCTGTGAATGGCTTGCAATAAACAAACTCACCCTTAATATAAGTAAATCAAATTTTGTAATTTTTCGACCATATCAGAAGTCATTGAATTTCCAGCCTGTAATTAAAATGTTTGATAATGATACCAAACAATATACACCACTTGAATGCAAAGAATATGTTAAGTACCTTGGAATTATTATTGACTGTAACTTGAACTGGAAGCATCACATAAATTATATTACATTAAAGATTAGCAAAACTGTAGGAATCATTTCTAAATTGAGATATTACATCCCAAATCATACCTTGTTAGATATTTATAGGTCATTGATTTCACCATATTTAACATATGGTGTAGTTGCTTGGGGAAATGCTGCTAAAGTTCATATTCAAAAACTTCTTGTTTTACAAAAGCGTGCATTACGACTCATGAATTTTAAATCATTTCAAGATCACGCAATTCCTCTATTCCTTTCTACCTACATTCTTCCTGTAACTATGATCTAAGTTAAAGAATCTGCTTACATGCTCTACGATATATTAAAAGGGGATGTGCCTGAAGCACTGTATAAATTATTTACCAAAACGTCTAATTATCATAACTATGATACAAGAATGGTTTCAAAAGATAACTTATATATCAATTCTTCTCGTCTGGAATTACAAAAGCGTTCATTTTCCAGAGTCGGTACTTTAATTTGGAATAGCATTGATCTCAATCTTCGCTCATCTCGTAAACAGACTTTTAAATCTAAAATACATCAAGCTCTTTTAACCATACTTCAAGATCAAAATGACTATGTTGACGTACCCATGATAATTGAAATGCTGCCCAATGTAACCGCGATATAATTTTCAGCTCATCATAACTTTCTAATTGCTTTCAAAAAGAATATATTTGTGTTATGAATAATATTTTTCATTTAAAAATTATCATAGCCAATCGGAATCTAAACTCTCGTTCTGTAAATAATTCATTTTACTTCTTCTCAATATAAATCAGTTGTATATATATATTATTTAATTAGATTCATTTCCTGCCGCGATTAGCTTGCTATTGCAGGATTTGAATCTTGTATTTTGTCATGTGTATTATTCAAATAAAGTTGTATTGTATTGTATTGTATAGAATCCTCCCGTTGAACCAGAGCCTTCACGATATTTCAATTTATTAATAACTGAAGGCTCCGGAATCCAGGATAGCTTGCCATTGAATACAGTGCAATGCTTATATTTCTGAATGAATAAGATCATACTCAGAACAGTCAGAACTGCAAAACTATATTGTTAGAAAGAAGTTGAAGTTGTGAGCATTATTGTGGTAACACAGCCATATGTATATATCAATGTATGTCAGTAGAATCATGTTTATAGGCTTTATATATAACTGAGGCCTTATACAAGTCATATCTTATACAAAAGTCAGTTGATATGCTATATTACATGTAATTGCTGATAAGTCCATATATGCAGACAACAATCCACACTGGATAGCTCTAGGAATCTTGTTAAGCCTGATTTAACAACATCCCGCGTTTGTTTTTAAACTATAAACATCTAGAAATAGAACGTACCGAACACTATTATATACTCACCGCCTTTGGCTTTGCACATAATAATAATAACGTGACATAACAAACAAATAAACTAAAAGTTCGTTTGCTTCTTGTATCAGCATAAAGGCATTAATCATTACTGTCGATTTGGTCGGGAATAGATCAGTGATTCAGTGGGTATTATAATTGCCGATATATTCTTGAAATCATATTGTTTCATGCCTCTACTCTAGGCTCTATATCGAAGTTTAATACACTAAAGTGACTAAACAAGTATAAACAGCAGATTTAAATATAAATGCCTTCATGTATTATAAAATATATCACCAGACAGGTAGACAGGGCACACGGCACGACTACACCACTATACGAGAACGAAATAAAGCCATCATTACCTGAATTATTCAAAATATTGTCGATCATTCTTGCGCCAGAGACACAAAATAACACCGTGCTTTATTTACCCATTCATCTTCACAAATATTAGTCGGAATTTTTATGGAAATTCGCATTATTTTATGATTTTTATATTTCTGTCCGTTTATAACAGTCGCCATGTTGTGAACACCCCCCCCCCGGGAACAAAAAAATAATATCAAAACAGCTAGTTTTGGCCCGTCCGTGGATGACAAAATGACATAAATCGAGATTGTAGCGGCTATAAACTCGGCGGTCACGTGGTAAGCACACCACGTGTAGAGATTAGTGTGCTGCCTCGCTACGCTCGGCAGCAATAAGGGGCGTCAATTAAGAATAGGTTAGCATTATTTCCCATCCAGCGAACCGCCCTGTCGATTTTCTGATTTAAAGTTGTTTCTTTTGGGAATTTTTTAATTTTGTTAGGGTTAGGGTTGCGGTTAGGGGTCACGGAGTAGGGTTTGGATTAGTTACATGGCCATTTTTAAAAACACCTCTTCCATCTTCCGAAAATGACGTCATGTCAGGTAGATAGAAACAAAAGCTAACCTTATGAATAGCTTTCTGACATATAACTACATTTTGCAGATTTGCAGTTTTCCTTTGGAATGCTATTCTGTAATGATTAACTTCAAAAATAAACTCTGGGACCGATTCTATTGACTGTGAATATGTAATGTGGAATTTACATTTGAAAAAATATTTTCATCTAATGGTTTCGTCATCCCCCTTAAAGAAACACCCAACTATAATATCGAGATGTTATTGATTCTTACCGCTGAATTGTTCCTTGAATGCAACCTACACACATTCATGGCTTGTTCCTAAAGGCCGGTTTACATTATCAAAGTTTCTGTGATCACAGTAGGAATTTTGCACAGGTAAGAAATGTTTGAGGGAACTCATTTAGTGTCAAACGCTGACAAAGTTTTCTCAAACATATTTTACAAATCCATCAAAACTTAGAATTTAACTATGCACAATTCTACTGTGATCACAGAAACTTTGATAGTGTAAACGAGCTAGCCTTAATTCTCTGATCGACGATAGTGTGAATAACATGACATAGGAACTTGGAGCAAGTCTAAAGTCAATCACAACAAAATGAGTTCTATTTATTTTATTAATCTGTCATAAATTACAAGCAGTTGTGCAATTAAAAACCTTCTACAATACAAACTATGAAACTAGAGGTATATTTCACTACAATTTCTACACACTAATCTAACATTTAAAATCAGTTCATTATTAAGTATCATTACTGGTTATTAATAGGATCCTCGACAATATAATTACATTGGCCACTTGATTATGCTCAGGAATCTACTTTCAAAATTTAGAACATCATTGTCTTTTTATAGGGTATCTACGAAAACATTGCCCAACGGATTCTTGAGCGAAATGTTTAAAATTTCCATATCCCAATTATCTGTCGCCGACCATTGTCCGTACGTTGCTTTGCCATTTTTAAACATGGAATTTACCTGAACTGATTTTTAGTCCTGCAAGACATGCATGTACTGTTCTTCGAATCCTGAATTTTTAAAGAGTGAGTATAAATATTATGCCAGTGATCCTTTGGGCGCTTGGAGTCCCAGAAAATGGCTGACTCTTGAGATATTTATAAGTGATCTCCAGGATTTAATTTGTATTGGCCCATATACTCTATTTCTTCTTTTAAACGAAGTAAGTCGTTATATCTTGTGAAATGTTGCGTTTTTTGTACGCAAAATGTTCGTAATGAAAGTATATTCATCACATCAGATGCAGCCGAATGTAAACATAAAATGTAAACACAAGCGTGCAAAGGATCACTGGCACGATACTCACTCTTCAAGTCAAACCTACACCTCAAAGTGCGTACGTACAATGGAAATTTTCACCACTCATTCCGCCCTTATTGTGTGCAACAAAGCATCTTTAGAGTGAGTTACATACACGTTTATTGCGGTGCCCTTGCAAAGTTTGCAGGACTGCATGTCCTGGGTGTGACTTCGTCCTTCATTCGTTCGTTCAGAATCTTAAGCAGGAAATACTTCACACCTATTGTGACTATTTTAGACTATTGAGGCAGAGAATTTAAAGAATTAAATATGTTGAAGAATTATTATTCAATCTAGTGCTATAGACGGGCCACGTTCTTCAATACTGCGTCTTACGCTTTTCCCACAAATTACATGTAAAAATTCCACGTTTCTCTATCTTAATTGTCACTGTAAGGTAAATGTTCAGGATTCAGGACAATGAGATTATGTATTTATGGATATTAGGAATACACTTGAACTGGAAAACTTTTCAGGCTTGAATTATAACTGGAAAATATTTCTGGTTTGAATTGCAACTGGAAAAATGTTTCTGTACGGACCATGATCTGCGACTGTATGTGTCTCAAGAGATCCTTGACTGAACTTAATAGTGAACAGGTTATCGAAGCCATTTTTTCAAACAGCAAACTGCATACGCTACACAAAAGTTAAGTTAAATCAAATTCTACACTATTATTACAGTAGATACGAAATATAATGTAAATGAAAAACATTATTACTCAATTCATCAAGAAACATTAGATATAACGTAATACATTACGTTGTTAAGCTTCAACTAATGGATCGTCATCAGAGAAACCTTGAATAAGTGGTGTATCATCATCATCTCCTAAACGAATTAAATGTTTATAAATAATGGTTTAGAATTACACTATTTCACAAAACGTTTAGAATTGCACTGTTTCACATACGAAATTAACTTGAATCTTGATGCACAGTTTGTTCTATTTATCAATCCTAATTTTCAAATTCGGCCTAGTTCAAATGTCGAACTTTCCAAACAGTGAGTTTAGGTCATTTACATTATATTTATAGGCACAATCATGATAAGCGGACGTTTGAACAAGGGTAGCGGCGGCTCAACATCAAAAAATTTTTCCGGACAACATATTTGTCAATCTTATTTTGTGCTTAACCACCGTTGTTCGTTCCATTTTTCCCTAATGTTTTCGTAAATTTCTCACCCGGGGGGGGGGGGGCGTGGAGCAGGAAAGTCGTTACTTAAACACGCCTGCCCCATCCGGGAACACTATAGCTTGGTTACTACACCATAAGAGAATTTCTCCCAAAGAAAGCCAGACCACCCCGATGTCCAGACGGTCCCAAAATTTTCAGAAAACTATATAATTACTTTGAATTTGTTCTTGAGTTAAAGTAGAAGTGATTTATAAGTAATAGCATAAAAAGAGGCGAATTAGCTATTAAAACGTCCCGCCCGATGAGGGTCGTTTAGTAAAATTCCCTTGGGCGCCGCTCGATGATTCGATGAGGAATTTTACTAAATGACCCGAATCGAGCGGCGCCGAAGGGAATTTTACTGAACGACCCTCATCGGGTCGTTTAGTAAACATGTCTTTGTTTAGTTTTGGCGATTTCAGATATCTTCATTTATATTCATTTTTTCTAATCGCATCCGCTTTGCCGTCGTATCGGGTAGGATTAGAACTAATCCTACCTGACATGATCACGTAGAAGCGGGTAGGATTAGGGATACTGAATATAATGAGGTGTATTAGTTTTTAATTGCCCTGCGAGAACAAAGGGAATACCCGCAATCATGATATTATATGAATAAAACGACTTGAGTATAAGAGTAAAAAGCACTGGATGCAAAACATACTTAAGTAAAAAGTACAAAGTATCCTTAAAAAATACTTGAAGTAAAAAGTAAAAGTACTATTGTCTGTAGGGGGGGGGGGCTTCTCCAATAGATTGACATACAAAATACACAAAACAGCACACGCATTATATGCGTGCACCTAATATACATCATTTCACGGCATGGTGTACTTTCCAGACCCCGTTGAAGATATAAGAAATCCATTAAATAAATACTGCTCATAAGTAAGCCAGAAACGAGAGATCCCAGACGCATGTAGAGGTCCTATTACCTATCCCAAAATTAAAATAAATGAGGAATAAATCACGTAAAATTAAACAAAAGAAAGTAACGAAATACTTCGCCACAAAATGAAAATAACATAAATAAAACATTACTTCTTAAAACACTTTGTTAAATGCTGACTTCTCAAAAATAGCACTCAAGTACAGTAACGAAGTACATTTACT